GGGCTGGCTGGCATGTGGAGCTGGGGGTTTGAACCGCGGTCCCTGTGCTTTGCTAAGCTTGTTCTAAGTAGGTGCTTTAGACCACTGAGCCATCTCACCAGCCCCACTAGCTACCTCTTTACTTAATTTTTTTGGGTATTTTAGGGAAGGGCCTACAGGGTGTTCAAAGTCTCACTATTAGATTGGACTCAATAGTAATCTGCCTGTTTACAGCCTCCCAAGAGCTGGAATTACAGGGGTGCCACCATGCCCAGTCTTAATTGTCATCTCAGCACACCCCGGGGGCGGAGCCAGCATGGTAGGCCTGGGGATCAAACCCTGGCCCTTACACCTGCTTGTAGGCGCTTTAATCTGCTGAGCTATCTGGCCAGCCCTAGCTCTTAATTTAAACTACGTATCAAGTCTTTACATAACAGTTTTGAAATAAAATTAAAATATCAATTTTAACTGTCAGTACAAATACTACACACACACACACACACACACACACACACACACACAGACGAGGGTGCACACACACCCTTTATTCATACCGGAAGTCCTAGGAGCTCATCAATTGAAGCCTCTGTTTCAGCAGGGTTGCTATCTGCTTGCTTGGGTACTTGAACAATATTGTTATCACTGTAACACAGAAAGGAAAATCTAGCAAAATTACACACTTACAGAAAAACAATTAAATATTTCAAAAATACCACTCACCTTGTCAAAAACTTATTAATGTTTTCTGCAAGTTTTTCTTGGAGAGATTTGTTGTTTAGTATTTTTTCTCGTGCATTTTCAATAACCATTTGCTGGAAAAGAAAGTCAGTATTAAATAAGGGTAGCATAAAGTATGTTACTTATGTAACAAACTACCATCTCAGTCAGCTGTAGTAGTCCCAGTTATGTAGGAAGCTAAAGTGAGCCCAGGAGCCCAAAATTTGAAACCAGTGCATGTAGCATAATGAGAACATGTCTAGAACACATAATAAAACCCAATCACTAGAAGCTAAAGTTTGTATAATGAAAAACTCAAGTTGCAGAAGCTCCATCCATATTAACACACGAACACAACATCTGAACATAGTGTTTTCATAGATCTTTCACCAACTCTTTCTTCATTGCTTAGAGAGCAGTTCCACATTTTAGCTTACTATAAAAGATTTTAAGTAACCCGTCTCCAGTAAAATGCTCTATTATACTGAATAATCAGCAAAAACAAAGTATTTGCAGTTTCTTAATACACAAATGTTTAGGCCAGGGAGATCCTTGGCAGTTTAAGTGCCTCCCTGGCAAGTTCAGGGACCTGGGGTTTGATCCCCAGTACATGCTGAACTGGCCACCGAAACCAGGTGTGGTGGCACATGACTGTAATCCCAGGGCTGGTGAGGCTGAGACAGGAGGATCACTATGAGTCTGAGCTGTGTAGTGAGACCCTGTACCAAATAAATAAATGATAAAAAAAGTGTATATATTTACACATATATACACACATACACATATATTCTTCCTTTGGGGCACATGCCCATGCTACCTATTCTGAATACATTGCCTCCTACAATTATACACCCCCATCCGCTATTCCAAGGCAATTCCACTGCAATCTTTAGAAGTCACTGTGCTTAGTATACACATGCACGCACATATTTGTGTAACTGTCAATACTTCTAAACCTAAGGGGTATTTCAAGTGGTAAACTTTGGGAACACCACTTACTTTTTCTACGGCAAATGTATTTAGATCCTGGAAATTTCGTATCGTTGAGTGAGGCCCAGACAAAGTAATATTTTTCCTTTGTGATTCACTGAAACACATTTGAAAAGACTTTTTTCACTACTACATCTCATAGAGTCCATGTTAACTACCCATATAGAGATAAACTTTAATCACTTTGGTAGAATAGGTAGGTATGTTCTATCTTTTAGTTTAAACCAAACAAAATAGAACAACATTACCAAACTTAGACGAAGGAGAAATAAATTTGAGGTCTAATTTTATTACTTACTAACTATATTCTTAAGTACATGAACTCTGACTCTATGACCCATTTTAAAATCATATAAGGCCAAAAAGATTACTGTTTAGAGAAGATTAGAATAAAATAAATTATATTTACAGATCTTTATGTGGTTAAGTGAGCAAACTCACAATAAGGAATTTTGTAATAAAGTAAGCCATAATTAGCAGTAACCATGAACTCAAAAAACAAAACAAAACAAAAACCACTCATGGGAAAAATAAAAACAAACAAAAATTTAAATTTTTTTTTTCCTGAAATGTTGTCCAACAGAGAAGCTGGCCAAAGAATTTTTTTAAAAAAACTTCCTCAAAATCTGACATAAATTAATTTAAAAACCTAAAATACTCATTTTTGAACCACAAAATATAAGGATATTATTTGTTTACTTAAAAAGCATGCATTCTGAAGTATGTGAGATAACAACAATTATAGGACATACCATTATGGCATGTGCCGTCAAAGAAAAAACTATTCAATAAAGGATGCAACACACTTTCACGTTATTATGTGAGAAAAAATAATGCCTTCTGAAATGGCTATCAGTATCCTGCTAACAATTCTTTTTTTTTTTTTTTTTTGGCAGAACTGGGGATTGAACTCAGGTAAATTCTTTTTTTTTTTTATTTGTGTGTTTTACGGGGCTGGTGAGATGGCTCAGTGGTCTAAAGCACCTACTTAGAACAAGCTTAGCAAAGCACAGGGACCGCGGTTCGATCCCCCAGAACCACATGCCAGCCAGCCCCGCCCCCTGGTGGGCTGAGCTGGCCACACACACACAAAATAAATAAATACATACATAAAAATAAAAAATAAAATTATTTGTGTGTTTTAAATAGTATTGGCAACATGTTCTTTATAGAAATCACTTGCCTTTTACGTCTACCAGGTGACATTAAGCTGGCGTGCGACTTCTTTTCTTGAGGACCAGGAACAATATTTAAAGACTCTCCAGCTGTATTTTAGAAAACAAAACAGTAAGCTAGGGAACTTTAACATGAGAAAATACATTACATTTTTTGTTTTGTGTTTTGAGACACGGTCTCACTATGTAGTTTAGGCTGGCCTTAAACTCTCAGCAATCCTCCTGCCTCAGCAATTTGAGTGCTGTGATTACAGGTGAGTATCTCCACACCTGACTAATCTCTACTGATTATTACTATTTTTTGGTACTGGTAATCAAACTCAGGACCTTGTGCTTGCCTGGCAGGAGGCTTATGCCGCTGAGCTGTAACCTCAGCTTTCTACTGATTACTTTTATATGAAATTCAATAAACGCTCATTGGATATCTATTTGGAGCACACTGTACAAGATATTAACAAACTATAGTGTGTACTTTAAAGCTTTACAATAAAATACAAAATACATGGCAGAATGTAAAAGTTCAAGAAAGTGTTTTGGGACTGGGGAGATGGCTCAATGGTCTAAAGCGCCTACTTAGAACAAGCTTAGCAAAGCACAGGGACCGCGGTTCGATCCCCCAGAACCACATGCCAGCCAGCCCCGCCCCCTGGTGGGCTGAGCTGGCCACACACACACACACACACACACACACACACACACATAAATAAAATAAAATAAAAAAGAAAGTGTTTTGAGGGTAGAAAAGATGGAAATGAGAGCACTCTTAATGGATGGCAACTAATTCTGGTTACACAGAAGACTGGATTGTGAACTGAGAGTCCTAATCCCTGAATTCTAATTCCAACTCCATTATCAACTAGCTTTTTACTTGATACTCATACTCCATGTGGCTCCCCTAGACAATAAATATATAAGCAAGATAAAGAATGTTGTCTTTATTTCTTGCTTTCAGACTAAGCCAGAAATATGAACCTTCACCAAGTAATAATGCAGGGATAATGGAAAGAAAGACATTCCCTATTTCATGAGTACAGATAGACATGAAAAAAATAAGGACATGGTGAAATGCAATGTATATCCTGTGTAAAATCGAACACAGCAAGGTCTTTTTTTTTTTTTTAATTTTTATTTATTTATGTGTGTGGCCAGCTCAGCCCACCAGGGGGCGGGGCTGGCTGGCATGTGGTTCTGGGGGATTGAACCGCGGTCCTGTGTTTGCTAAGCTTGTTCTAAGTAGGTGCTTTAGACCACTGAGCCATCTCACCAGCCCCAAGGTCTTCTCTTTTAATATCCCAAATGTAAAATGACTATTCAAGGTTAGATTTCAAATAGGTTAGGAATATGAAAAACTATAGAATAAACTGACTCCCAGACTTTGTATCATGATAAAGCTTCCTACAGTCTGGTCCATGTCAAGCTTCTCTCATCTCTTCGGACATAATTCTATGCTATACTACAGGGGCATTAGCAGACCTATCTCACTTACATGATTAACAATAAAATTAAAGAGACAAAATTTAAGCTTACTAGTTACAGTATCCTGTGATTGAGAGTGATTGACCACTACAAAATTTGACCTCATTGGAGCTGAAATTTGGCCAACAGGCTGAACAGGCTGTGCAGCTGTCGAAGGAGCAGTAGTAAACGGTGCTGAAACATAAGGTAAAATCAGCAAATCTGAACTGGCAGGAGCTGCTTGAGATGCAAGCCTTCTTTGTCGTTTGATTTCTGCAATTCCATTTCTTGTTCGGACTGCAAACACATAAGCATTAAAATTAATGTCAGAGTAGTTTGCAGTTAACATATCAACATGTTCAATTACTGACACAGCACTACATAACGTTAGATCCACAGAATGAAAACATGGTTCTTAAAAATGTCAACTTTGCCAGGGACATAGCTCAGTGGCATAGTGCCTGCCCAAGTTCCTGAGTTTGATTTCCACTTAAAAAAAAAAAAAAAATCACATTTATTTGGTAATTTCATAACAAAATATAAATTCAGCAATACAACTGTTCAGCAATATTTTTTTTTTTCGGTACCAGGGATTGAACTCAGGACCTTGCTTGCACTTGCCAGACAGGCGCTTATTCTACTAAGCTATCTCATGGCCCCTGTTTAGCAATAATTCATACTGCTAACACCCTCACAAAGAAATCTAAAAGTGTAAAACAAGAATTTAAAGATGGTACTATGAGAGCCAATGAAAGAATATACAAGTATACTTTATATATACATACAAAATAAATATTTCCTAATATGATAATAATTGTACTTTACAAAAATGTAATTTCAACAAGACAAATAGCTAGCATTTGTATTAACTGAAATGTTCACCAGACAAAATTTAGAATAATTCTTAACATTGTTTAAAGTTGAATACCAACCTCTTTGATTGGCAGCCAACCCCGGGGAACTTTGCATGCTCCTAACAAATAAAACAAAGTAGTTTATTGAAAATTTTTGTTGCTAAGATAGTCTTGGGTTTAGTTATGTAAGTTATGAGTTAAAATATGCTAGACCTTTTTAACACAAAAAAACCCCCAAAAGATGAATACATTTTCTTGGTAACCAATTCTGCTTTGTATCAGGAGAAAAGGAGTGGCACATAAACACACTTGCACTCATAATAACATAATCTTAGTAATGAGGCTTCCATTCATTTCAATGTGGATTAGAGTGCTTTGACTTTAGGAATACAATTTGATGTGGTTTTAGGAATTCCAAACATTTAAGTAAACTATATATGAAGTATAACATTTTTCAATTATATTTATCAAGGCTTTTTCAAAAGGAAACTGATTTCACACACGTCAGTACTTTAGAATCCCAAAGTTCATGGCAAGTGACATGATAATGATGTCTTTAGTAAATCTGACTATGACAGATCTTGTTCAAACTCTAAGCAAAGAGAAAAGCAAACAGGAAACCTGAAAACACAAGCTAATTCTTTCACTGTGCATTATAATTACCAGGCTATGCATTTGGTAAGCAGTACAGACAGTATCCTTGACCTAAAAATGTGTCAAGTAAATATTCATCATAAAGAGCCACTTTGAATGTATCACTTTTAAAAATATGTAAAACTTAAGAGAAAAAAACTTGGCTAAAAATCGTTCCTTTTGGTAGGCATGGTGGCACATGCTTATAATCCTAGTATACTAGGAGGTCGAGCCAGAGTGGACTCAAGTTTTAGAGTCCAGCCTGGGACAATTTAGTGAGAAACTGTCTCAAAATAAATAAAAAGGGCTGGGGCTTAGTGTGACAAGGCTAGGTTCAATCATAGTACTGTTTAAAAAAGAGAATAATCCTTTCTCTTTATGTAAAATTGTGCCAATAAAATACCTCAGTAAAATACACAGTATTTATAAACACTAAACTGTGAATTCTTTTAAAGATTATCTGTGAGGACGGGAAACATAAGTCAGGAACAGGAAACACAAAGATAAGATTACCAAATGCAGGTGTAGTTCAGGTTAGCACAAAAGCATCTGGTGGTGTTAAAGCAGTTTAAATGAGAAGAAAACAAAACCTTTGCTGAAGCTAGATGGAGGTATCTGCTGAAGTTAGATGGGATACTCACTTGTATTTCTGGGAGAAAAGGGAAGAAACTATGATTTTTATAATAGACTCGATAGTCAAATAAGAGATCTTATAAAAAAGTTGATACCAATGATGTTAACCCCTGAAATTGGCATTTCAAGCCTAAATAGGTAGAAACCAGGCATTAATATCATAAGAAAATTCTAAAGAAAGACTACAGAAGTAGCATTACTCTTCAAGGTTATTTCTTAATAGGGGAGCATCAACTGGGCCTGAGTTCAACATATTGATTCCCTGAATATGTAATAGTTAAGAGAACTGACAATGGGCTAGGAAAAGAAACATTCCAGTCCAAGATCCTCCTCTAAGTTGATACAAAAACCTTGGTAATGTCATTTGGCTTCTCTATACTTCTACTTCTTTCTCTATAAATACTTTGTAATTTATTTAAGCTGAGCAAGGGGTAGGAAGATGGCTCAGCGGTATAAGCACCTACCTGGCAAGCAAAAGGTCCCAAGTTTGATCCCAAGCATTGCAAAAAAAAAAAAAGGAAAAAGGATAAGCTGAGCCAGTGTGTGCCAGTAATGTCACCACTCTTAAGAGGTGAGGCAGGATAGTGAGCCCAACCTGACAACTTAAGAGCAATTCCACCTCAAAATAAAAATGGGCCGGGTATACAGCTCAATACAGAAATTCTCGGTTTGTTGTGTTTTTTATGGACATGTCCCGACTGGTCACAGAGGGATGATACCCTTCAGTGAATCAGTCCATGGACAAGTGCAGTAACTCAACGTGACCCTGGGAGCTGAGGCTTGGTGGAAGAGGGCCAGACCCAGCAGGGGCTACCTCCCTCCGTTGATTTCTCTCTGCTTACTGGCTATGCCATGAGCTGCTTCTCTGCCACACCACCTTGCCTTGAAGTCAGTTAACTATAGACCAAAATCTCCACAAACTATAAGTCAAATGAACCTCTACTCCTTTAACCACCCCTGCCAAAAAAGACAGAGAAATTAATTTTTCTCAATTTATTCCAACCAAAGGCAATGAAATAAGCTGTGACTAGAAAATAAAACCAAAAAACTCTAGAACTAAAAAAAAAATTAGGTATTATATGATACATAATAAAATGGTTTAAAGTATACTTGCATTCCACAATCATTATTGACATTTTAATTAGTACCTGATCTGAGAAAGTGTATGGTCTAACCTCTTCCACAGAGATGACATTATTGCTGGGACATCATTTGATGTTTCTAAATTACAAGAGGAAATAAACTTAGTTGGAGAAAACTCACCATTCAACTTGAACAAAGACACAAATCACAGTAAAACAAAGCCTCTCCCCGTTGCTGACATTTTGTGAACTGAAAAGCAGGTTTCAAAACTGGCCAGGAAAGATGCTTAATTCTATTTCAGCCATTGGGTACCAGATATGATATGAATGGAAATGAAAACCCATGTAAATTCAGCAGCTTAAGGCCCATAATTTCATGCTTTTTTTGGGCTAGTAAGACAACAAACTACTTTTTCATCTTCTGATATCATTTGATATTTGAAGGTGAATAAAATGTTGCATAACAAATAATTATCATAAAGCTTGCACAAAATCTTTATAAATGTTGAAATTTAATTAATACCCTGCATTTTAAAATAAATATAAACAATACCTCTCACTGGGGTGGTAGTCATATGAAATGCGATAAAACATGAAAGTATCTAGCAGTATGCTTATTAAAAGTCTTTAAGTATTAAGCTTTCTCTTATGTTATTACTTTATGCTGAGTCTTTAACACTAATTTATGAATGCTGTAAGCCACAGAAACAGTAACAGAGAACAACCATCAGAATTTGTCCTTTACATCACTATTAATTCAGGCAAATATTATTTTCTATTCTAGTAACTACCATATTCCCCTCCCCCAAATAAGCTGTAACTGGAAAATAAGAATTAAATGGTTTTTTCAGTTTGCTTGCAAGCCATATCCCCAAAACAAATCCCAGTTAAGACTGACATCCAGACAAATGCACTTAATGGGGAAGAAGTACCGAATTACAAAACAGTATTAATATACAAATAAGTAACATCACTAGTATTAAATCAATATAAATTTAATTAAGTATTTAATTAAATCAATATAAATTTAATTAAGTATTTGTAAATTCCCAAGCAGGTATCTCTGGACAAGGGGTAAACAGATGAACTTGAGACAACTGCCAAGTCCCAATCAAGAGCACAGACAGTGCATGAACAACATGCACACTCGGTAACACATGGATATGGCTGTCTAACATGAATCTTTATAATTCAACAGGCAGTGTATTGTAATGAATGTATTTATGTACTTATGTGAAATAAAAATTTTTGGGCCTGCATAGTTTTGCCACTTTGTCATCATTTTCACTGCTACTCTTATCTCAGAAGTTTTCAATTAACACTTGATTTAAGGGAAAGTTGGAGAAGCCTAAGCTGTAGAAGGCTGTAGCTGTTCTGCCCATGCAACTGCAGACTACCTGGGCAAGTAGTGCTCACTTATGTGCTCGTGCTGCACATGGGAGATTGGAGCCAAGGGTTCTACAGCAGAGTTAGGACAGAACCTGGGATCTGGAGAGCTCTGAGGTTCCAGAAGAACATGACATGACTGTATTCAAATAAATGTGGATTTTTGTACATGGAAAAGAAGAAAAAAAAGAAAAGACTTCTCCCCAAAATGAGCCCAATTGTGTGTTTTGGAGCAAAAATTTAAGACCCAGTCTTACTTTTCGGGAAATATATTAAGAGCCAGGATTTTACAACTGGCTCCATCTTTAATTTTACATACACAGGGGGCCGGGGAGATGGTTCAGTGGAATAAGTGCTTCCCTGAGTTCAAGGGCCTGAGTTCAATTCCCAGTTCCGCAAAAAAATAAATAAATAAATTTTACATACACAGAACTTAAAATTAAAATGATTTTGAACTTTGTAACATGCAGCAATGCCTGCTTATTAGTATAGGTAACCTGGAGTTACAAGAGTTTATGTCTTATTTTTGTATTTGTTAATATTCAGATTTTTATAAATTTTGTATTACTCAATGTGAACACAAATGAATTAGATGTTTCTTACTAAGATTTGTCATCATAATTAAAGTTTTCTCAATGTTTTGAGATGTTTTAATTAGAAACTTTCTAAAAGATACTAATAGACAAATGCTATATAGAACTAATAAGACAAAAACAAAAAAAATCCCTGAACTTGAGTTTTTACCTTTTGCTTTCATAGCTACATATTCATTCAAAATTGTTGTCAAGTTTTTTCCAAATAAGGACTGAAAAGGAAAAGATCACATATTACTAAAATCATGTAACACTACCAATTAATTTCCCACCATGAGACATTATTCAAAAACTAATAAAAGATATGGATTATAGAAGAGCTGATGAGGAAAGGGTAAACAAAGTTATCAGAAAGGACATCACTTACATTATGGGTCTCATCACATCTTCTTTTTTTTTTTTTAATATTTATTTATTTATTTATTTAGTGTGTGTGTGGCCAGCTCAGCCCACCAGGGGGCAGGGCTGGCTGGCATGTGGTGCTGGGGGATTGAACTGCGGTCCCTGTGCTTTGCTTAGTTTAGCTTGTTCTAAGTAGGTGCTTTAGACCACTGAGCCATCTCACCAGCCCCAATCACATCTTCTAAGGGTAAAGAGCATTATCTATTTGAATAGGACATTATGCATATAATTAACTCTTCTGAACTTTGGTTTGCTTATCTAAGAAAAGGGACATGATTATTTATCTATACTTATGTTACAAGATTTTTAAGTTTTTAGCTTTTTAGTACTTGATGAGTCAGTAAAGAGGGCCAGCCAAATAGCTCAGTGGATTGCAGTGCCTGCTTAGGCAGACGCAGGGGCCAGGAGTTCAATCCCTGGGCTTGCTGTGCTGGCACCACTCAAGGGGTGCACTGTGGAGGCGACTGAGACTGGGCATGGTGGCGCGTGCCTGTAATCCCAGCACCTGGGAGGCTGTAAACAGGAGAATCATGAGTCCAATCTATGCAGTGAGACCCTGTATACCCTGTCCTTAAAAAAACAAAACAAAACAAAAAAATCAGTAAAAAATTCCATAGGTAGTTCTGACTTCCTGTAACAGCCCTCACTCAGCATCCTAGAATGCTATCATCTTATGAAACCACATGCATTTTTCCCACATTAGTGGGAAAATTTTGTTTTAAAATCCAACCTAAATATTTTATCAGATTAACTATTTTGTTGTTTGTTGGTATTATAAATGAGTACTAAAAATTTAAATCCTAATTCTTCACTGTGCATGTAGTAATGAGTTAGCTCAGCAGTCTAAAGCACCTGCTTAGGCAAGCTCAAGGAACCTGAGTTTGATCTTTGCTCCACATGCCATGTGAGCCCCACCCTCAGGGCAGGCTGAGCCAGCAAAAAGAAAAAAGAAAAATCCAACCTAAAATAAAACTTGCATTTAGACATCATGTCTCTTTGGTCCCCTCTGAACTGTTCCTTACTGTTAAGCTTAACCTTGAAGATTCTGACATCTTAGTCTTTCAACTTATTTTTCAGAATTGTTCCATTTCCCTTATAAAATTTACAGTTCTGCAAGTTCCTATATACATAATTGTTATGGAGATTTTACATGTGACAAATCTATAATAAATTATGGAGAACTGACAACAATATTGAGTCATCACATAAAAACAAAACTCATTTTTGTTTGGTTATACCTTGGATTTCTTTCATGCAGTTTTGAACACAGGGATCCTAAATATTTTATCAGATTAGCTATTTTGTTGTTTGTTGGTATTATAAATGGGTACTAAAAATTTAAATCCTAATTCTTCACTGTGTATGTAGAAATACAATGGTTTTTTCTATGTATTATATGTCATAACCTTGATCAACTGTAGTTTTTAAAGAATTATTTTAGGTTCCCTATTTAGAAAATCACTTGTTATGGTAAAGCATCCCTAAGGAGCCATGTTTAAAATGGAATGACAAATGCTATATGAGATAACATAATCTTAAATGTATCTATCATATACCAAATGATGCTCTGTTGGTTAAGTGATATTTACTTAATAGGTGACAACGTAAGCCAACTAAAACTCTATTAAAAAAAGTTAGAAATAAGCATTAGTGAAACTAATCAGGATGAGAGTGTCATTTAAAACTGGATTCTTACTGAGACAGGAGGATTACAAGTTTAAGCCCATCATATAGCGACTGCCTCAAAAGAAAAATAAATAAGTAAAACATAAAAAGGCTTGGTATAGCTCAAGGTGAAGGTCCTAGGTTTGATCCCTACCTAGTTTCACTACAAAAGAAAAAAAGAAAAACCAAAAAAACAAAAACCAACAAGACCCCAAAAACTGTAATTTTCAAGAGGCAAAGCTGTAATTCACTAATAGGTTTAGCATAAACATGTGAAAGAAGAGCTGACCTTTTTTTGAGTCTTCTCGGTCCTGGATAAATATAAACCACTGAATTTCTGCCAATTTGGACTTTGTGGATGAGCTGATTTTTAAATTTTTTTTTCGAGATGGGACATTTCTCTATTGATCAGACTGTTTTCAAATTCCTAGGCTCAAGTAATCCTCCCACTTCAGCGTCCTAAGTAGCTGTGAGGCTGCTACACTTGGCTTTGAGGAGCTGACTTTAAAGACAGTGTTCAGGGCTGGTGAGATGGCTCAGTGGTCTAAAGCACCTACTTAGTACAAGCTAAGCTAAGCAAAAACACAGGGACCGCGGTTCAATCCCCCAGCACCACATGCCAGCCAGCTCCGCCCCCCTGGTGGGCTGAGCTGGCCACATACACATACCCACACACACCCACACACGCAATAAATAAATAAATAAATAAATAAATATAAAGACAGTGTTCAGTCCCTCATGTGGTCAATGATGAAATTTCTCCTTTATGCAACAAGTAACTCACCAGTAAGCAAGCTGGAATAAAGCCTTCATCTGTACAGTGTTCTGCATATTCTTTTAAATCTGAACTTTCTAATATAAAGGTCTGGCAAGTAGAAGTGAGGTTTTCTTGTTGTAAGTAACCTAAAGGGAAAATAAAATGTAAGTACTTTCAGCAACTTTTGCATTTTTGTTAAAACTGCTATTGAAAATGCTAAAGCAAATACCAGAAGCATAAATGGAGCTCCAAGCCAAATTACTTGCCCAGAAAACAATAGGCTGTATTGCACAACAAAGTAAAGTTCATAAAATGGATGGCTTTTTTTTTTTTTTGTATTTTAGGGAAGGGTCTATAGGATGTTCAGGGTCTCAGTCTAAAAACACGTTTAACTTAATCAGTAAAGGTTGAAAAAGTTGTTCCCATTTAAGGAAACCAGTGTTCCATCACTATCAACTCTTAAACCAGGCATACTGGTACACGCCTATAATCTCAGCAGTGAGGAGACTGATGTAGGAGGACTGCTTTGAGTTCAAGGCCGGACTAGGCTACAGAATGAGTCTAAGGTTAGTCTGAACTGCATAGTGAGATCCTGTCTCAAAAAGTAAAAAATCCCAAAAACCTCTTTATAGAACACCAAGTTGACCACGCAGTATTCGTACTGGGTGTTTGACTTATTTCACTTACCGCTATATTTTCCAGGTGCATTCACTCTCCTACAAATGCTCAAATTTGTTCTTTACAGCAGAGTAGTACTTCTGTACCCATTTTATTTATCCAATCATCTGTTGGTGGATATGCAGGAGGTTTCTAGGATTTAGCTATTATGAATATTGCTGTTATAAACACTGAGATGGATGTATTGCTGGGGAAGATATTTTGGGGAAGATACTTAGAAGGGAGATAGCTAGGGAAGATACCTAGAAGGGAGATAGCTAGGTCATATGGAATTTCTAACTTTAGTTCTTTGAGAAATCTCCATACGGATTTCCAAAATGCTTGTACTAGTTTATATTCCCATCAGCAATGTAGGAGGGTTTCTCTTTTACCACAACCACATCAGTACTTGTTGTTTTTTAACTGGCGTCTCTCATCTGAGAAGGCCAAGTACAAACTAAGAGAAAAACACAGAAAGGATAGGAGAAGACAAGGGGATGGATCTCTTGCAGATAGAAGGGAAGTGCTCCAGGAGGCCAAGGGTGAGAGGTGAGGGGAAAGTATGCAGAATGAAGAAATGCCACATACAGGATCCCAATAACGTCAACGAATGTGGACATCATATGCCATAGACATGAACTAAGATTAATAATATCAACAAGAAAAAGGGGAAAGGGGAGTTACAGGAGGAAGGCAAGAGGGGAGAGGGAAGATTATTTAAAAAAAAAAAGCTGTATTACATGCACTAACCAATTCCCCAAGAAAACCGTAAAATGCACACACTGCAAGCACATACTATACATTTTAAAATGGAAAAACATAGTTCAGCAAATTCACTAACAAGCAACAGCTAAAATAATAAACATGGAGAAAGGAGAATTAGATTACAAAAACTGTCACACTGTATTATTTAAATTGCCCAGTCTTATATACACACACAAACAAGAGTGACTCCTATAAGAGGGCAGGAGGGCACAGTTGATAGAAACAATCCTGAAGGAAGCTCAGGCATTAAATTTAAGACTTTAAATGAATGATTTTCAAATTAATTCAGAGAACTAAATGAAATCACACTTGGAAATCTGAAGATGCTGTCTGACCAAATAGTAAATACCAATAACTGAATCAAAATTCTGAATTTGAAAAGTATAAAATACTTCTCATATGTTAACTGAAACAGAACATTCACTAGAAGGGGCTGAACAGATTTTAGAATATAGAAGAATCAACAAGCTTAAACATAACTGTAGTTATCTGGTTTAGGAATGGAAATAAAAAGAATGATGAAAAATAAAAAATACAGTGTCTCAGATTTGTAAGACACTGTTATGTGTGGGAACATAAGCATAATGATTACTCCAGGATGACAGGGTCAGAAAGACTATATGAAGAAATAATATCTGCTGATTTCTGCTGGTCTGTGGAAAGGAGCAGTTAATTCTTAAAATTTTTTTCTTTTTAATTCTTATAACTTTCTCCTCAATTTTGCATATTTATGTATATATCTGATAATTTAACAACTAATTTGAAGACAACACTATGCAATACAACAAATATTGACCAATTTGTATATTATTTTGTTTAGTGAAATTCTGTAGTGCTTCTGTTTGTATTTTCATTATTTTGTATTCTCTCTAAAAAATTAAAAATAGTGCTGGAGAGATAGCTCAGTGGCATAAGTGCCTGCCTGGCCAGCGTAAGGTCTGGAGTTCAATTCCTGGTACCAGTAAAATAAAATAAAATAAAATAAAATAAAATAAAATAAAATAAAATAAATAATATCCTCCAAATTCCTTAAATTTAAGGAAAAACTCTCTCCAACTCAAGGATGTTTAATAAACTCCAAGTAGTATATATTCAAGACATCCATACCTAGATATATAATCAAACTGTAAAAAGGCAAAGAATCTTGAAAGCACCAGGAGAGAACTGATTAAATACACATAAGCACACTTAACAAGATTAAAAGCTAGCTTTACAGCAGAGGGCCTCAATGCAGTGAAATGGTATTTAAAGACAATACATTTTACTTTGTGTGTGTGTGTGTGTGTGTGTGTGTGTGGCCAGCTCAGCCCACCAGGCAGTCCCTGTGCTTTGCTGAGCTTGTTCTAAGTAGGTGCTTTAGACCACTGAGCCATCTCACCAGCCCTAAAGACAATACAGAGGGGATTTTTTTTTTTTTTTAATGTATCTAGTACAAGGTCTACAGGGTCTCACTACACAGACTGGACTCGTAGTGTCCTCCTGTTTTCAGCCTCCAAGTGTTGGGATTACAGGTGCGTGCCACCATACCCAGGGAGAGGGGCTGGCATGGCAAACCAGGGATTGAACCCCGCTCCCTGCATCTGCCTAAGCTGGCACTTTAATCCGCTGAGCTATATGGCAGATCTGGCCAGCCCTACAGAGGGGATTTAGCTCAGTGGCTTGGTACTCACCCCAAATAGACATGACAGAAAAATCTTAACAAGCCTGCATCTCACAAAAATTCTCATCCCAAATCAGAAAAATAAATGTATTTGAAGATAAAAACAAGATCAAAATTTGCTGCTAGTAGACTTGCCCTATAACAAACATTAAAAGGAAAGTCCTTCCAACTAAAGTGAAAGACCCTGGAGAATAATTTGAATCTACATAAAACAACACTGGTAAAGATAACTACAAAGGTAAATATAAAATAAGCTGGGTGCTGTGGATTATTTCTGTAATGCCAACACTTGGAAGGCTGAGGTAGGAGTACAAGCCAAGCTCAATGCTAGCCTGAACTAGCTTTGAGACTGTTTCCAAAAATGCATATATTGGGGTGGGGATTTTAGATGTAACTTTTTATCTTTTGCTTAGAAAGACAAATACATATAGGCATTTATGACTTTTAGTTCAAGGAGGAGAAAGACAATGGCACTATATAAGAGCAAAGTTACCAAATGCAAACTAGCAACTGAAGAAATTATATTAATATCAGATAAAGCAGACAATAAGACAAAAGTTACTATAAAGATTATAAAATGGTCAATCCATCAAAAAAAAATTACCACAGTCGCACCCAGCAACTGAGTCCCCAAAACATAAACACTGACAGAAGTGGAATAAGAATTGGACAATTCAATAATACAAGGTAGAGACTCCAAAACTGTACTTTTAATAACAAGCACATAACACATAAGTCTGAAAAACACTGTAAACTAACCAGACCTCACATCTTAGAACATTCAACACTAACAGAAGCCATGTTTTACTCAAGTACAGATGAAGTATTCAGTACAGATGATGTATTATGATATAAAACAAGACTCCACATGTTTAAAAAGCCTGAAGTGTAGAGTATGCTCTTTGACCACAATGGAATGAAATTAGCAGTCAGTAACATAAGAAAATGTAGAAATTTCACGAACATGAGGAAAATAAACATGCTTCTATATAAAGTCAAAAAAGAAAAAGAAATTAGAAAATACTGAGATAAAACAAAGCATGATATACCAACATTTATGAAATACAGCTAAAATAGTGTATGGTATAAAGTATGAATGTATGAAAAATCTTAAATCAATAACCTAATCTTGCACCTTAAGAAACTAATGAAAGAACAAACTAAACCCACAGCAAGCAGAAGAAAATATTAGAATAGAAATAAAAGATTTAAAAAACCAATGAAACCAAAAGTTGTTTCTCTGAAAAGCCAAAAATAAAACAACAACAACAAAACAATAGGTAGACCAACCAAGCAATAGCTCAAAATCAGCCAAGCACAGGGGGAAATGCCTACAGTCTAGCACTCTGGGAAGCTAAGAAGGAAAGATTATTTTACAAGTTCAAGCCCAGTCTGGGCACCTGTGCAATTTACTGAGACCCTATGTCAAAATAAAAAATGGAAAGTATTGGAAATGTAACTCATTGAGAAGGCCCTGGGTTCAATCCCAAGCACTGTACACACAAAAAAAAAAATAACGTAAACATTTAAAACACTGGCCATGAAGAAAACTCAGGACTAAATCACCTTATTGGTAACTTCCATGAAACTTCAGAAGAATTAACACCAATTCTTCACAAATCCTTTTGATATGCTATATTAATATAGGACAAAAATCACTATTTCTTTAATGTAGGTAGAAAAACAATGTGATGTAATCTAGCAACTTTTCACAATAAAAAACACTAGGACAAGGGGCTTTTCTGAGCTTGATAAAAATATCTGACATAGTCAATGGTAAAGATTCAAAGCATTCTCTACAAAAGCAGAAATAACAGAAGGATGTCTGCTCTTGCCATTTCCTTCTTATCTTTGCTTATTCAATGGTGCCAAGAACCCACCCTAGGGCCTTCCAGGGCAGAGCTAACATGAGGAAATGATCCTCAATCCTTTTTACTTTATTTTGAGATAGGGTTTTTACTACATTGTACAGGTTGGGGAGACTTGAGATCCTTTATCAGTTTCCCAAGTAGCTGGATTACTAGCCTGTGTTACCACACTAGGCTTGCTCTTGCTACTTGTATT